CTTTCTTCATACATGCAGGTGCAATTTATTTAAGTCAAATTTGAACAAGCTTCTCCATGCTCAAGAACTTTTCACATCAGTGGAAACCACCCTCCCAGCACCACAAACCAACTGAACAAAAAGAACCACCCAAAACTTTCCACTATAACAATTTACTTGCATCAAAGAAGGAACTTAAGTAGTAATGAAGCAAGATTTAAACCTTGTGGGAAAGGTCTTACATATCCTGTTAGAAGGTAAGTAAAATAAAATGAAAACTTGAATTTATGAATGCAAGGTTTGACACCATGCTTCCAACAGTAGAATTAGTGAGATTTTCTCCTCCCCATTCTGCCCCTTTATAAAAAGCCTAGCTTTGTGAGTGAATACAAGTCAGCCAAAGTGGAAATGATGTGGAAAAAAACCCCCAAAGCACAAACACAAAACCCACACAAGAATGGAAAACCTCTCCCACTTATATCTGCACATTTGCTTTCCCCCCCCCCCCCCCCTTTTGCTAAAGTTTATTATAAATCTCTTACACAGTCAAAAGTCAAAACAACTTCCCTTAAACACATTGAAAGTGCTATTAAACTACATGGATGGAGAATGGAAGAAAGCCAACTCAAACTACTATTCCTATGGCATAGACAAATCTGAAACAGGAATAAGAGAGGCACAAGGCAATCAACTGTTCAAATTAGATAAGACAAACTTACGCTTGTTGTGTAAGCAGCTTCGGGGTCGTCCTCCAACACTCGTGACAAACCAAAATCAGAGACTTTACACATGAGGTTACTGTTGACCAAGATATTACGGGCTGCCAGATCACGGTGTACATAGCCCATGTCCGAGAGGTACTTCATGCCAGATGCAATCCCCCGCAGCATGCCGACCAGCTGGATGACGGTGAAGTGGCCATCATGCTTCTGCAAGTAAAGACGCAAGCTCACAGAACACAGCTAGTTTGCATGAATTTTATACTAGTGATATTAACTACAGCTCCTATTTAAAACACATTTGTAACCCATCCAGCCAACCTGCCTGCAGCAGGCTTGTTTTTTCAAAAATTAACTTAACTTTAAAATTTAACTTGCTCAGCAGTGCAAGCTATCCCATCTCTCACTGTGCAGTTTATCCCCCCTTTCCTTCCACATTTTCACACTCTCCACAATCTGTCTCCTGACAGCATTTAACATTTTCTATCCTCAGTTACTAAGAACATTTTCCCCAAACTCTACTTCTGAGCAGAAGAATGACAATACACATAAAAATCCTGTCTCCATCTCTTACTCCATGGCCTCAGGAAACAAAAAGTCCTCTTTTTTTATTGCCTCAGCCTTGATAGTCTGCAAGAAGCATGGCTGTTACTTCACTTTTGGTTTTTTTTTTTTTTGCAGGGGGTTAGTTTGTTTTAAAAAAAACCCAAACAACCAAACCTCGTGTCTGTTCTGCACCTATCACCATATAATCTCTGAACACTACATTAAAAAGATTTGGGCTGAAATTCAGGAGCCATGTGCAGTTTTTCTAAAGTCTTCCTGGCTGACTAGGCCTGCTAGGCCCAGACCCATGAATGCATTAAGCTGCTTAACTCCTGCTAAAACCTACTGGAGTTCAGCACGGAAATAAGAAAGTTATGCTGGTAACCACGCTTGTCCACCTGGTCAGTCTTGGTGGGCCTCAGTTTCCCATCCTCAAAGTTAAAGTTAATGCTTCTGTACCTCCTAAATCAGAAGACTGCCGAATTATGTGGCAGTAGGGACCAAACGAGTACCTGTCTAGAAAACTGATTATGGGCTTTATGCCTGGCTCAGGTCTGCCCTATCTAGCATTTCCAGCAGCCTGTTTGCAGCAGTATTTGTGTGACCTCAGCTGGCAGACATTTAGCTTCTCATGGATTATTCAGTAAGCCAGGCTTTTATGTTGGCAGGAACAGCCAAACAAAAACAACTCTTCCCTGTAAGCAAGTTAACTTTCCATTTTCTCTCTCAACACCTTCAGCATTGGGCTACAGACAAGCAGCAGCATCCTGATCAGCATTCAAGATATTTCCATTGCTTAGCTCCCACATTTAAGATGTTTTTTGAAGGGGGGAACTTTACAGTAAGTTCAGTAAATTCATTAGGTTCAGCAAAGCAATAGGCTGAACTGTATGGATATGCTTAACTTTATCCCTGCTCAGCAAAGTATTTCAGCATTTCAATCAGGATTCAATGATTTGGTGCCTGTATCTAGCTAGTCAGGATATAAACGTTAAAGAAATAAGGAATTAGTACTCAGATGTAACTAAGGTTAACAGAAAACCCACAAACCAACCAACCAACCACAAAACCTCAGACAGGGAGAAGTTTGGCGTTACTTACTTCTCATATTATTAATTTATCTTCTGAGATGAAGCAATACTAGATCAAGGCCTGCCTCATATATTGTATACGTGTACTTAAATCAAGAAATTATACGTTCCTAAACAATAAGTGTGCATATCAGACTGCTAAATTAAAAAGTTGTTTGCCTATAAGAAAGTTGGGGAGACTAGTTCCTAAAGTCACAATTAGTCAGTTAAACTCTATTGGGCACAGACAGAAAGACAGACAAACTTAGCAAACAGAAAAGGCAGAGACAGGTGGTGGACAGAGGTAGATTCTGTGATTTGTGGAACTTGCAGAGCATCTTGAAACTCTTTTCTTCCAACTGATTTTATGAAAGGAGTTGAAAGTCCAAGTGCAACAGTATACAAAACCCTGCATTATGGGCAACATTAACCAGTTACTAACCAGTTCTACTGTGTCAGGTTACAACAAAACAAGACAAAAACAAGCAATAAAATGGTAAAAGGCAAATATGCACAGTTGCTGCATGATTCAGTTTCCAAGCTGCTATTCTAAGCCAACATATCAGAGTGCAAAAATTCAAATACAAACATACCTTGTCCTCTAGAAACCGTTACAGCCCCATTGTACTTCTCAGCAACGGTTGTATTTAAGGAGCTGTGCTCCCATCAGTAGCCAAACACCTCAGCCATCTCACAGACTTCTCCAAGGAAAGCATGTTTAACAACACTTATTTGAAAACAGATATTTATAACTGATCCATAACAACTTTTCCCCTTGAATGTTCTGACTGTTCCTCTTGCATCAGAGCTCTGGAGCCTTTTTGCTCTAAATTCACCACCCAAACTCTTGTCACACCTATAAGCAACCCCCTTCCTTTGTCACCTCCATCAAAGCCACCTGTGAGCAGTTAGTTCTGCAGACCACACTCAGCTGAGGGTCAAGACAAAAGTGTGATAACCAGACATTTTACAAAAGGCCATCCCCTGATATGGGCATATGACATTCCCCATCACAGGCACCTACCACAAGAATAAGGAGAACCTCTCAGAGTCCAAAACATGCCAGTGACACAGACATTTTAAATGAAAATTTTCTGTCTAGCGATTAAGCAAAGAGAGACAGAAGAGAATAATCTTAAATATTTTAAGCCTCTTCCAACAAAGGAAGGACATGAACCCTATCCAATATTTTATGTAATGAAGCCAAACAGGATTTGAATTTTCCTTTTTATTTAATAATTCTAAATATTCAATTGACTCCAAATTTATGAAGTTGGTTGCAAACAGTTAATACTCTTCACACTTACCCTGTATGGATAACTTTTTCTAGATAACTGTGGAATTGGGATTTGGAACAAAGTGCCTATGACTTTTGCAAAACAACCAACCAAGCTCCCCTTGCCCCTACAACAAAGTGCCAAGCAACCTCCCAAACCTCTAGATTTTACCTCCTCCTTATCACGGCTAACAGCTCCATTCTTTCAATGAACCTCAGAGTCATCTGCAACACCTCCCTTAACCTTTTGTCCCTTTGGATCACAAGCATTCATTCCTTCCTTTTTTAATTTGTGCTCTTTCAAATGTAGACTACGCTTGACTGCTTTTTCATAAAACATAACCTTTTTCTGCTCTTTCTAAATCTCAGTATTTGCCTTACCAGTATAGCAGAAATTCCCAATTAAAAACAATCTCATGCTTTTGCTATTCTCTCCCTCCTCCTTTCAAATTTCTTTGGGCTTCTGCCTTGACACAAAAAGTTCAAGCTTCTTATCTCCACTTTTAAAGAAATGACAGACTTGCTAACATACCAGTTGCAATTTTATTCTGTCCTCCTTTCCCCTCTGTATATTTCCCCAAATCCTCTTCTGCATCTGTTCTCTTCTGTCCCTTCTCATGCTTGCTTTTATATTGTTTCATTGCCAGCCTTGCCATTGAAACTACATTTTTCCTGCAGCAAAAGTCTTCTCTCTCAAGTCTCTCTGTAATCACTTCTGCAGCAGTTTCCATGCCAGTTGTAATCCTTTACAATCTTTAAACTGTTCTCTTCCAATATATCAAAATATTTGTCTGATTTAAGCTGATCAGGACAGAGGCTATGGGCTCTATTTAACCCTTGGAAAATTCAACGAAGTTGGTGAAATGATACCAGCTAGGAATCTGGCCTCATATTTTCATCATTTGCAAATCCCCACGTACATTCGAGTCGAACCAATCCTTTGGCAACTTTCCATTACCTCATTTGATTCGCTTGCAATATAGGCACATAAAACACTCATCTGAATGGTATGGCAATTGTTATCCAGGGCTTTATTCTGATTCCCATTGCTTAGATTTGAAATATGCTTTTGATAGGATTCCCACTGGGGTGTTAAGGGTGTTAATCAATACTGGCAGCAATTCAGACCCCAGTGGACTTACAACATTTATCCTATCATCCCATCAAATTTTAATCAGGCTTTAATGGCTTTGCTAAATAAACTTTTCTCATCAGCTGAGTATAGATGCAATATCTGAGCAGTTGCTATTGCATTTACACACCCCTGCAAATTCCCTGAAAAAAATGTTGTTTCTTCACTCACCTACAGATTGCCTTTGAAAACCTTATGTACATGAAATATTATCCTCCTGTTACAGACCTTTCAATAGCACTGATGTATACTGGGCTGGTCAAGAGGGTCAGTTACTTTAGGGGAGGAAGGATGCTATCCTAAGTTTCTCTCATTGCTTTTCACCCTCCAGTTTCCAGCTCCTAGTTTAGTGCTTTTCTACAAGACAATAGAATTTTTCTTCTTCAGAAGATTTTTTCCATTTTACTACTGAATAACCTTTTGGAAGTATGGTGGTTGAATTTTTCTGTATCGTTTTTGGACTTCTGTCTATACTAAAATCCATTTCTTTATTTGCCGTATAGACCAGAACACTTTTACGCCCTTATATTCTGATAAGTGTACAGGAATTACTACAGGTCTAAATATTTTACTGCAGGTGATTTAGATCTTATTTTAGATGGAGAATAGCACTGAAAATGGTGTGTCTATGTCTAACTTAGATCATATTCACCTGTGACAGTTCCTACTGGTCACTGTATGAAAGATGTAGCTTTTGCTACACATTTATTGTTACTATTCTACCATGCAAAGTAAATGGTAGAACTCTATCAGGATAAATCTTCCAAAATCCAAGTTGCAACGTGGTATTTCCTGGAAACATAACTGATGCTTCATACTATCAAGTGGCTCGCACTCAGGTTTATATTGCTGGTACTGAATAAGGTCAACTGCCAATTTCTTCTTTAATCAGCTGTTAATGGGGTTCCCTACAATTAGTAATACCTAATTACATTAAACGCAATACATAAAAAACCTGAAATTACTTTAGCTCATTTAAAATGCTACTGAGTGATCCTACACAAGAATCTAAGTGCCTCTTCAACCATTAAAAATATGGGAAATCTTTTTATTATTAAAAAAACCATTGTGAGACGAAGCCCTTCCAAAGCTTATTTTAGCATGCAGTAGCCACCCTCAAATCTGAACAGAACAGCAGAAGTAGCCTTGCAACCTGTGACCCTGTTTTCCTTACTCAGCTACAGCA